TAAAATAAAATTTTAAAATTATATATATAATGTCAGGCTGGTTTGGCCTCGGGTTATTTTTTTTAGTTAAAACCAAACCAACCCAAATATAGTCAGTTTTTTTTTTTCAATACCAAACCAAGTCAAACCAAACCACTAGTCGGATTTTTTTCGGTTGGACTCGGTTTGCGGTTTGGTTCGATTTTCGGTTCGATTTTGTACACCCCTAGATATTAGTAACTCTAACAAAGCTCAATTCAAAATCAAATCAATACTAATGCTAACAAAATAATTCATTCAACTCTAAGAATGACAATAATATTGAATATTCGTTCTTTAATTTTACATTGGTTTAAACATTTAAAATATATAACCTAATTTTAATTTTTCTTTAATGTTTAATCATGTAATTAATACTTATTAGACTTATTTTAGCATGATTTAGTACTTTTAAATTATGATCATTTTCATTATGACTTATCAATTTGCTATATTTATTTTACGCAATTTCATTATTATTTTTTGTTGAATATTTTAGTGTCATCACTCATCTCATGTTTTGAATTATTTTTTTAAGAAACACCTTAGATAGTTGAGTTTTGGTTGGAGTTAGACTGAAGAAATATTTAGAGCACAAGTTAATTATATGTCTGTATGAATACTTTACCGAAAAATCCCAAAAAAAATCCGTGGTTTATTAGTTTAGTTTGATTTAAATTTAAAAATTCAACACAAATGGTTTGGTTTGATATTTGAAAAACTCGACTTTTGTTAGTTTGGCCTATAAATTTAAAATTTTGACACAAATGATTTGGTTTGATATTTGAAAAATCCAAACCACCCGATCATATACACCCCTAAGACCTAGGAGCAATAATAAGAGTTACTCCTGGTTAAAACTTTTGAAATGGATATTGGAGCAATAGTAAAATTGTTCTTGTATACTTTTAAGTCGATAGTTGAAGTCGTAAACCCAACTATTGTTGCTTGCGTCAAGATGGATTGTCTACATTATGTTCTTAGGGTGCAGACTTTCCCTAGATCATTGTAAACCCGAGACGCTTTGTGCACCAGACTTACGCTGATCAAGTAGGTCAAAGGTGACCAACTTTTGGAGAAAGCATGAGCAAGTAACAAAAAAAATTCCCTTTTATTTGCTAGTTCCACTTATGATGTGGGCTGAAGATAAAATAGGAAGAGTGATTTATCTGACACAAATATATTTACTCCATGGTGCTTACACCACACTCTTTTCAAGGAGTTAAGCACTCTCATAGATCACAACATGTAAGATGTGTACTCCTATTCCCTTGTCAATCACCCAAGCATAAATGTTGGCACAACAAAATATATTCATAGAGGGTTGAGGAAAAGAATGGTAAAAACAGATCACTGCAGAATCCAATTCTATGGTTTGCCATTTGGATTTGGCGAATTCTGAGAAAGTTGATGACGGTATGGAGAAGCATGAGCACCATTTGGAATCGATAGGCTTCTTGGTTGTTGTTGTTGTTGTCCATTCCTTGAGAATGATCCTTGCGTTCTAAGGACATTTCTTGTATTTGGGCTTGGGCTTGATCCAACTCGGTCTGCTTGCATCGTCTGGAAATAGTAGGAGGAGCTGGCCATGTCCTTGAGGTTTGGCAAAGGCTTCAAGGCTTCGACCACATCACTCATCATAGGTCTGACTTTGGGATCCCGGCTAAGGCATCGTGCAGCCAACTGTGCAGCTTTCTGCGCGCCTTTTATTGAAAAATGGCCTTCAAGTCTAGGATCTATCAATTTATAAAACCTTCTTCTTTCACCCAAATGTGGCCGTGCCCACTCAACAAGGTTGTGTTCCCCGTTTGGCCGGTTCTTGTCCATGGATCTCCTACCTGTCATCATTTCAAGCAGAACTACACCGAAACTGTAGACATCACTCTTTGATGTCAAATGTCCTGAGACCAAAGAGTGGTACACGTTTAATTAAAGTTCCACTCAGCAGATGTGAGAAACATTCAAAAGCTTTTCAACAGTGGTTAGACTTGAAGAGACACAGAGAATCTGATAAAGCTGAGCGGGCCGTCCAAGTAGAAAGTGGGCAAGCATTGTAGGAAGAAAGAAGCAACTGAGATCTCAATCTTACCTGTCATCACATACTCTGGAGCTGCATAACCATATGTTCCCATGACACGAGTAGAAACATGGGTCTTGTCGCCCTCTGGAGCATCTTTGGCAAGTCCAAAATCAGAAAGTTTGGCATTGTAATCCTGAGAGAATGCGTTATTAGATGAATGATAAAAATGGGCGAGAGATCAATTTGCCAATGTGTTTGAACACACCGCATCTAGAAGAATGTTGGACGTTTTGAAATCACGGTATATCACTGGTCTTTCTGCTTCCTCGTGAAGAAAAGCAAGACCTTTTGCTGCACCCAATGCTATCTTCATGCGGATGGACCACGGAAGAGGCAGGGACCCTGATAATAAATAAATTATTACAAAGTATCATAAAGGATATGCAAAGGCATGACATCTACAGCAGAAATCACAGATAAGAACATAAAACATTTGTTCTAGAACTTCGTAAGTACTAACATCAATTCACCAGATACAGGCTGCAATACTGAAAATCATATTTTGGTTATTCAAGAAATATGCTAAATGCAGAAAACTGGAGCATAAAATGCATACAAGACAAATAAAGGTTAGCCTTTGGTGTAACCATTTGTCTTTCCGAAGAATCACCAAACCCTCCCAACTATGATTGCTAGTAGCTGAACCATAGATCGTACTGAAAAGGCTCATGCATTGCATCACTCAGCTGAAAGATACATGAACTATAACTGCCAAAACGTAGATCAAGGAATACTTGCAAAAGTGTAAGGCAATCCGACATGTATGTCAATTGACAATCTGTCTAAAGCAATCCTATAATATTCCTTAAGAAGCCAATCTCAAATGCCTCATTTTAGGGGGTCTAACAGGGGTTGACCCATGCAGTATCAACTTGGTTTTTCTCGAGTTTAAGGATGGATCAAGCCTAATGATCAAAATACCCAGTGTCACATCCTTTTATTATGTTTCATAAAATGTTATTGCTCTTCTGAATGGGATGATTAACTTGCCATTCTTCCTGAATAGAATGTCCCCTCCCACACAAAACCTAAACTTAGCAGCAAACCCTCTTTTTTATTTTATTTTTATGACCGTGGTGTCCGGACCAGCTTTCCTACCTCAACTAATTCCACGGGATGCCTGCCACCTCCCGCCAGCAATGGTATCCAGCAATAGATACCAGGTATTTTTTTCCACCAAGGCTAGGACAGACGGGAAGAATCACCTAGTATTTTTTGTCTCCGCTGGAGTTTTGAACCTGTGACCTCAGGGTTCTCAACCACTTCATTGACCACTAGGCCACACCCTTGGGTGCTCTCTTCTATTTCTATCTCTAACTGTATCAGCCAAACCCCTTTTTCTCTTTCTCCAACCTACGGTACGGGTGTTCTTCAGACAAACTAGTTCTCTCTCTCTCTCTCGCTGACCTACACACAAAAACTCACTCAGACTATATCACCATCCTTTTGTTCATCACTATCATCACAACCTCCAACTCAAATCCTCACTTCCGCACAACCTTGTCTTTACATTGATTCATCTGCATTTTCAGTAATCAGTAGCTGCAAGGTTTTCTGTAATTGATAGAGACAAATTAAATGGTCAACAGGAATAATATAGATTCCACTTAGGAGTGAAAGGATAACATAGATATATATAGCTTAGTTTCGAGCAATAGAAATAGGTTTTGCTGATTTCAATAGACAAATCAATCATTCTTATCATGTGGCTAATATCAAATATGATTAATTTCTTTAACCACTATCTTATTGGTTAATGGGAAATGGATATTTTGTGAAGCAAGCGTTGAGTATCACAGCCAATCAAGCTAAGCTAGACTCGAGGGTGAGCTCAAGTTCTTTTTTTGTTTATGACGGTGGTGTCTGGGCCAACTTGTGCACACCTCGACTAATTCACCAGGTGCCTGCTACTTCCCACCAGCGCAAGTACCGAATAACTCCTGCCCGAAAGAAGGACATTGTCAACAGTCAAATCACGTTTGGACCAGACCTTTTTCAAGATTTTTTGTACCCTCAAGGACATAAGTAATTTTTGTTCTGTTAGCACAAAAAGTACCTTTTCCCATGATATTAAAGAAACTAAACACTAGAAGCAGGAAATATATTCTCATAAGAAGCTTCTGCATCCTAGCAAATTGACACTGGTCATGAATACAAAGTATGTAATATAGGACTAAAAGAGCTGACGAGATTACCAAAGTAAAATACGAAGACTGCCTATTAAGTTTTTTTCCTCAAACTCATCGGATGCAGATTTTGCACAAGGCCTTCAACTTTCCCATGTTTTTAATCTGTGATGATAACAGAAGAAAGAAAGCAGACTCCCAAAAAGATGGTTGCTTTCTAAATGGAGGAACTCACTCTGGTTTGATCTGGGATCAGGAAACAATGTGAAAAAATCATTTCCCCTGTTGATAGCTTTGCTAATATGGAGAACTCCATCTTCCCATTTCGACCTTAAATTTATGAGGCACTGAATTGTATTATATCTTAGCGAATAAATTTTCTAATTAGTAGTGGAACATAAATTAGTCTCATCTTATCTTCATAGATTGTTAAACAGCAACAAGAGAGCTCAAGTTATACTCCACAGGTAGTGATATGCCATGTGACTAAAGCATTAGTGGTTGCAGAGGAGAGGTCAGCATGATGCATGTTAATTTTAAATGATGTTTAGCTTACCTAAAAATTTACTTGTGTGCAAAAATCTCCGATAATTAATATATACAAAACATCATCTCTTCTCATTTTTTTTGGGGGGGGTGGGAGATGGGGGTGGATAAATTTAACAATACACATATTACAAACTGATCTTCAAATATAATCAAAATTCAAAGAATGCAACATTGTAAAGCATATCAGAAAAGGGTCAATTACATACTCCTGAACAGATGGTTTTCCAAGCTTCCTCGAGGCATAAATTCGTAAACCAGCAACCTCTGATCATCTTCAATACAGTAACCAATTAGTTTAACCAAATTGGGATGAATGAGATCGCCAAGGAAATTTACTTCCGCCTGCCAAATGAGACAGTAAATTAATACAAGCATACATGAAAAAAAAGAAAAAAGAAGCAAAAATAAACGATATAACATAAGCTTTTAAATAAGATCAAGAGAGCAGCAAACCAGCCATTCTTTGTGACCCTGAAGTCCATCATGATTTAGAGTTTTCACAGCAACAGTAAGCCCTGTTCCTGGTTTAACAGGTGCCGTTCCATTCTCTTCAATCCAACCCTTAAAGACACAACCAAAACCCCCTTCACCGAGAAGGGATTCTGGTCTAAAGTTTCTTGTAGCCAACTTCAAATCATTGAATGTGAACTTCCGAAGCTGCGAAAAAACTTTTAGTTCCTCTTCGAGTTTGGAGGTGGAAGAATTACTTTCAGCATTACTTGTAGTTGTGGATGAGATAATTGGAGCAACAGGCTGGTCTATGCTTGTATCATTTGTCGATTTACTTTCTGCCAATAATGATACAAGATATTAGGACCACGAGCACTAATTACCATTAAAAGAAATATGTTACTCCCTCCGTTTCAAAAAAACTTGACCTACTTTTTCCTTTTTAGTCTGTTTAAAAAAGAATGACCCCTTTTCTTTTTTGGCAACACTTTAATTTCAGCTTTCCACGTAACATGTTTATGGCCACAAGATTAAAGGCATTTTGGTACATTTGACATAACTTCAATTTAGGACCACAAGATTGAAAAGTCTTCTTTATTTTCTTAAACTCCGTGCCAAGTCAAACTAAGTCATTCTTTTTTAACCGGAAGTAATATTTAGTTTAATCCTGAAAAACCCTTAAATTTTCCTCTTAGCTAGGAATAGTATAAAGGGTTTGAAAGAGCTACTGAAGCTAGTAAAGGTGCAACTGTATAAGTACTATGTGTGTGTGTGATACAGCATTGCTTAAGTCTCCAAAGTGCGTATTTTTTATTGATTTGTTCTCATTGCCAAGTGAACAATGATCCAATGACATCATATTTTTCTTCAATTTTTTGTGTAGTCTGTGCTTGCGTCATTAGTAGATAAAGGTTTAATCTGTTGTTCAAATCTATAACTAGATGACATTAACAGTCTAATTTACCATCTCTTCCTTCAGTAAACAAAGAAAATGGCTAAGATATTTTTTTGAGATTCATCAGCACAAAAATTGTGCTAGCAGCCATAATTTCAATTCAAAAATGAATGATTAAAAAACATCCCTATTAATCCTACAAGGCTTCTAAAAATTGTACCGACATTTCAGCTTCATCTGCGTGGTGTTCTTTTCACCAAAATTCAGAAGACAAGATAAATTCATCTTGATTTTTTGTACTAAACTACTTCTATCCTCAAAACACCTTGCATTTCTTTTTTCCACACAGTCCACCATATGTATTTTGGGATGAAATTCCACCATTTATTTTGTCTTACAATACCTCCTACGTTATTCCAGCACCCCACAAGATCACATGTATTCTAGGCATGACCCATCTAAGACCAGACATACTTAAAAGAGCTGCCACATTTGGTCAGTGACTCCACAAAGAAAATGAATAAGATATTAATTCTATCAAATCAAGTGTGTGATTGTAAATTTGAAATCACAAAATGGTGAGAATCCGGTATTCACAAGGCTCAGACGAAAATGAAAACTCAAGGACAAGAATGAAGGAGGTGCTAACAAATCCCACAATCTGTCGGAAGTTTTTTCGTTCACCCGAGAGTTATAACCTTGCCATTTAAATCAAATTCTATACTTGGTAATCATATCAGCAGAGTGAGGGTGAATTACAGAAAACAAAGCATTGATTCATCTCTTGCCATTGATTGTTGACTCAAATTAAGTTCATCTTGCAGCTTTACATATCAGAGTTGAATTCGTAATTTGAGAAAATTGCGACACAGGCAAACATAAGCGATAAGGAAAAAAAATACCAATAACAACAAGAATGATGTGATAAATCTGCATAACGCTAATGTCAACATCATTATCCAGAAACACAAACATTGTTACCTAAGTTGCGTGTACTCTTCACTTTCGATGCCACACTCATGTCGGATTCTCAAAAATAACACTACTTTTGGAGAATCCAACACCCAACCATTGACATTTTTGAAGAGTCTGAGCAACAAAGATTGTTACCCTGAGATGACTGTGGCCTTGCAAAAAGGAGCCTTCACAAGTTCCCTAGGTTTGTTCTAGTAATACCTCTTCTAGATGTATCAAAAAGAAATTACTTTGATCTATCAAATGAAATAATGCCTCTTACAGAATACAGCTACCCATCTTGAATTTCTTTAAATTGGCTTCATTATTAGTTTCTCTGAGTTAACATCATCAACTTCTACAGAAAGAAGAAATATATGGAAGCTTCTTTCCACCTCAAATTCTCAAACATTTACTTGCACACCATTTGACAAAACTCAATGCATTTCACTACTTAAGAAATGGAGAATAACACTTCAAAATCACAGCAGCAAACAGTCTCAAGCTAATAACAATAAGGCAAGCCCTTGAGACTCAAATAACCATTTCCAACATTAACAAGAACCCTCTACGTCTAACCTCTTTTCCCCAGCGACTATGAATGCTATGTGACAAAATTATTTACAAGATATGATCATTCTTCAAGGAAAACCAATTGAAAAATGCAATTAAAATTTGCAAGCATAACAAAACAATGTGAGTTCGAAATTACCACAGCGAGTGCTGATGCCACTGATGGAGTTATCAACTTTAGATCTTGAGGAAATACAGCTACTAATAAACCTCAACTTCATCCAGCAGCCAGTCTCCTCCTCATCCCCTTCTTTTTTCTTCCTTCCCTTTGATTTCTCTACATCCCAAGACTCCCCCTTTACACCATCACCACCTAATCCCATAGTTTAACAATACTAACAAACAAACTCAAAAATCATCAAATCCCACCCCCACTCACCCTCCAAGGTACCAACTTCAAATCAACCCCCTCACACAAACCCCAAAAATCTGATCTTTTTCCAAACCCTTAAATTATCAGCTAAACAACTGAACCAAAGTTGCCTAATTAGCACAAACATGACCTAATGGAGACCCAAAAAGGGAATTCCAAATATATACACTTCCTTTAGAGCAAAATCCTCCAACACCCAGATGAAGAAAAAGTATTAAAAAGGGAAAAAAAGACAAAAATAATAAATATACAGATGAAATAGCTCAGACCCAGTTCAAGAATTCAAGAAAATATGACATTGAATCCAAAAAAAAGCTAATTTTGATTCAGATCAACAACCCCATCTTGACCTTCAAAGAAGAAAACTTGTCCCAAAACACTGTATCAGATAATCCCACTTCAAAAAGTGCCCCCAAAAAATGTCTGCTGGCCCAAAGATACTGAAATCTTAACAAAAGGACTCAAATATGCTGACCATTTCTGTCTCCTCAATCAGAAAAAGATACACATAGTAATAAAAATAATTATTTTATAAGTAATTAATAAAATTAGTAGGGGGTGGTTTTGGGTGGGGGGAGGGGGTATTATATGTCTAGGTACAGGAATGTATGTGTGACACCTCGTTCGGTTGAAAACAAATTATCACAAGATTAACTATCTCAAGATTATTATTTTATCTTTTAGTGTTCAAAATAATTAATTTCAGATAAGTTATCATATGATTTTATCTCAACTAAATTTGTGATAAACTTATTCTAAAATTAATCTCGAGATAAGCTATCTCTTTGTACATCAAATAAACTCTGAATACGTGTATTAAATTATAGTCATGAAATTGTAATTTCTAAACTAACTTATCCTATTGTCAGAGATGAAATAAAATAATCTCAAATCAAATAAGATAAAATGAAATATTCAATAATTGAATCTAAAATAAAATTTATATTGTTAATCAAATAATTTAATATCCTATTTTATCTGCGCACTAAACGAACCTGGATGTATATACAAGCCACAAGGTCAGCTAATCATAAGCTATAATAAAGTTTAGTACTTACTATTTTTTTAATTCTAATTAAAAACTTACTTATATATTTATATAAAAAAATATATAAAACATCATGCATATTTTGAAGAACCTGTATAGTTTTAAACTTTTAATAATCTCAGTTAATATTTTTATTTTAGGTTAGTAAAAGACAAACAGACTTATTAGAATCGACATAAAGGTCTTTGTGTAATTGATTGAGTTGATAAGAATTAGGTTGTTCAAAATTGAATCAAATTCGATAATTTAAATAGAAAAAAGTATTATTAGTTTATGAATAATGAATTATTAGTTAACAATTCGATAAGGACTCTGCTTTTATTATTATGGGGTTATCAATTTGATAACAATTTTAAAAAATTCTAAATGAATTATGCCATAACTCCATAACCGTTGAGGATAAAACAGAAAGCCCCCTGGTTTGTAAACGGCCATTACCCCAAACTTCATACATGAAGAAGCAAAACTGACACATTCGGCTGTTTGGGTAAGGCTTCCTCAACTCCCAACTGAATTTTATGTTGAAAAAATTTGGAGGGGCGATAGGAAAAATTATTAAAGGTCGATGCTTGTACGAGTGCTACACTCAGGGGAAGATATGCACACTTATGTGTGGAGGTGCCCATGAATGTTCCAGTCACCAATCGTATACAAATAGGATCTCACACACAAGCGATAATATATGAGGGAGAAGGCTTCCTATGTAAAAATTGTGGACGACTAGGACATGTTCAAGGAAAATGTCAATTTACATCAGCCCCCACAATGGAAAAACTACAAAAAGATGACTCTGTCAACCAAGAGAAGCACCCCATTACCAATGTCTGGCAAACAGTATCATTCACGAAGAAGGGGAAGCCACCAGCTTTCAAAAAAGAACAGGGTGTCAATTCCGAACACCAACAAACAAAAGATAACACATGTATCAATGTCAAAATATTCTCGGCGGAATCAGGTAAGTTTCTCTCAACCCAGAAACTATCTTTTCAATCTGTTAGTCCCGTTTCGTTTAAAAATTTAACTCCTAAAAAGCATTATGAGAGTGAGCAAATCCCCAGCTCCATTGGTAACAGGACCTTCGCTAAAAAATTATACAAAAGTGTTAAAATCACCAAAAATCACTCCACTGGAACGCTTAACAAGGTTTCTATCCTTTTCGATAATGCGGAAGTCCACTCGTCTTCCGATCTTGGTAAGCCCCATGAGAAGGCGGCTGGTCAGGAAGCCTCTTTGCATGCCTCATCTGCTTCGATACAGACGAAGGAGCTCCCCAACAAAAAGCGGACACGTGTCTCTAGCGTGTTCCCACGGTTTTTTACAAAAGCACGATACCCAAAAAAAACTTACTCAAAAAGAAAACTACAAACATTTCTTGGCCACCACTCAGCCGTCCTCCCTAAGAAACAACTTACCAATGGCGGAAGAGTGTAGCCAAGTGGCAATTGTCGATGGACATGCAAATGAAAGGAAACAATCTTTTTCCAAATCTTCCGGCTAGTAACCCTACAACTAATTCGACCAATAACAGTCATTATAAATCTCACTCTATAGATCTTCAATCACTCACCTAAACTCACACTCCATCTCTACTAATATATCTCTTAGTGTTTGCAACAATGTTGAGACCACTAATCCCCTTGAACAAAAGGAAATACCCACAATATACTTCTCATCCTCTCAACCCCACTCGACAAAACATGAACAACTTCTCCAACATTCCCCAACAAGTTGCACAACACCCTATGGTGGTGACAACACAGCCAGTTCACCCCCTCCATCAAACGCAATCCTGGATAGAATATGGATTGAAAGATCAAGCTGTCTTCTTTACGATGGACATAAATGGGGTGAATACCATGATAATCATTCAAAACCCCAACTTCTTGGCCCAACTTATCACAGAGGGAATGAAACTGTCCATGGACATTATGTGAACCATCACTGGATGGAAAATGTGTTGAATCCACTAGCGCCGGCTGTAGAACCAGCTCTCTACCACAACATCCACCCCAGTGGAATCTGCCGCAGCACTTCAACCCCCCTGTGAACATGACTCCTTTTCCCCAACTCCCCTTTTTCACTCCCCAGGAGGTCATAACGGCCAACCCTCTCTTCTTCCCATGGATTCCTGTACCACTACAGGGGCATGCACAACAAGTTCCCAGTCAAGCTTCGATGGAAACTCAACAGCCACCTTTATGGCAACCTGGGAGCGGAATGCAGGAAGTAGGACTGAGAGGTTCCTTCACCGAAATCTCGACTCTCAAACACACTGCTCTAATGATATTCTCAGAGAGGGAGGACAAGAAGTATGTTCACATATGTCCAGTGACCTTGGTGAAATGCTCATTCGATCTCCGTCCAGCGGTAAACACAACTTTTGCCAAATACGCAGTAGTGATGACCCCAACACTACTTCCTATTCGCTCTCCGGACGAGGACGATCCGCTGATAGTCAACCCCCCCAATCACTACACTCCAATGATCAATCCCACTAGCTTTATTGTGTGGAACATTAAGGGGGGAAATAATCCTACCTTCAAAAGGAATTTTAGAGAGCTCATCCACAACCATAAGCCTTGCATGGTAGCTCTCTTGGAAACTAGGATGACTAACTATGTTGGACTATGCGATGAGTTTGGTTTTGATGATTTCATGGAGGTTCCGGCAATAGGTAGATCTGGAGGTTTAGTCTTACTTTGGAACACTGTTATGGTCACAGTCTCTGGCATTAGGCAATCTGAACAGGAGCTGCATGCAATGATCCAGGTATACCCCGACCCTAAGATCTGATGTTTGAGTATTATTTACGCCAGTACAAAAAGTTACAAAAGACACATGTTGTGGGAAAAACCTTGAATCTGTTTTCCATTCCTTCTCATCTCATTGTCCTTCTGATCTTTGGTGCATTGTGGGTGATTTTAATGAGGTTCTTAGACAGCAGGATAAGTGGGGAGGTAATGTTATTAATCGCTCTAGAAGCTCTTGTTTTTGGTCTTGTATAAATCACTATAACTTGATTGACTTAGGGTTTAAGGGTAGTCGTTATACCTGGTCCAACCACAGAGGGAGACACAAAGGCCTTATTTTAGAAAGACTAGATAGATGTTTTGTCAATGATAAGTGGCTGGACCATTACCCTAACACGTCTGTCACTCATCTCCCAAAAACACACTCTGATCACAACCCTCTCCTAATTAATTTAATCCCTAAAGCTCTCACTTCTATTGCCAAATCCTTCAGGTTAGAGAGTTACTGGTTAGGACATCCTGAATTTAAGAGTATTGTTGGGAATTGTTGGCTGAACAGGGATTTTGCTACTGCCTCTAGTGTCTTTAAGAATAGAGTCATCCATTGGAGTCGCATCACCTTTGGCAATATTTTTCGAGAAAAGAAAAGACTCTTAAGCAGAATAAACGGTATCCAAATTTCTTCTGCCTACCCATTGCTGATACCTAATTTTGGACCTCCACAATAGATATTAATCATCAAGCTTCTTAAATTCCAAACGATTTGAAATAATTAACTTTAATAAAATTACAAAATATTTTTCAAGTTATTTTAAATAGTTTTGTCTACTTTTTATAATTTTTAATAATATATATGTTTTAAATAATCATGTATATAATTAGTATATTTTATGAATATTTGAAATTGTCTCAAAAAGATTTTAGTTTTAGTTAAATATTTTGTCAATTAGTTTGGTTTAAGTAATAGTTTATATCTTTAAATTAATTAGTTTATAATTTAGTTAATTATTTTATTTCGTTAAGACTAAGAAGCTCGTCAATTAATTAATATTAATTTGTTTTATTTAATCTTTAATCAGATTCACTAGTTGAGTCAAATTGGCTAAAATTTAAAGTTAAATGGACTAAGTTTGCAATTCATTTGGTCATTTTTCTAATTCAAATATAACCATCTTTTTGTCCCACTTCATGGACCTTTTTAGAAAGACCAAGTGTTGGGCCCTCAACCCACTTCTCCAATTCAATTACCTAGCCCATTTCTTTCTCATTTCCAGAAAACCCAACCCATCAGCAATACAATTTCCAGCAACAACATACAACAACAACATCACCCAACCGACCCCACCTGCATTCATCTTCTTCACGCGTCTTCTTCCCCATAAATCCAGTAGCAAATCACGGTTGACCAAACCCGAAAATTGTGCCAACAGTACTCTCCCATACGCAAGAATCAGCCTTTTCTTTGATTTCGAGCAAAAAATTGAGGATTTTGGTACAAATTTTGAATTTCAAATTCATTCAAAAATCTGCCTGTTTCCCCCCCTAATCGAATCCAATTTCTTCTATAAAAACCCATCTTTGCCTTCAGTTTATGGAGGGGTGAGCATAGGGAGAGGTTTTGAGTTCGGTTCTTTGGCAATAGATGTTTTACACTTAAGAATTTTATATTTAGCTCTCTCTCATTCTAAGTTCCGAGAAGGTCGCTGCTCA